GCAGACAAGCTGGCCAGGGTGTGCAGCTATGCTACTATGTTTGTTATACTACAAACCAAAAACACAAAGTAACATATCAGCCGGCTGTAACGCGACTAAGCAACTTCACTAAATTATTTAGTCAGCTGTAACTGAGCCTCAGGAGTCTGGCTTCCTCTCTCGAGAGCTTCTTATTAGAGCTGCTAACAGAGCTTTGACACTGAGATGGATCTGATTACCAAACTATAATGGAAGCAATTGTCTTTAAAAAGTTGTTCTTAAATAAGGAAAACAGTGAAGTACAATAACATAATATACACAGCATTGCATTAAATGTGTTGGTCTTAAGACTGGACTCAAATATGATCATGAAGACACACAATCAGTACAAAAGAGCCCATCTCCACTCTACCATCACCTTTACTATAGGCATGCTGGCAGACTGTTTACTTAGCCTGGCAGGGCGAAGGACACCGTCTCAGCTGAACTCTGGACACACACACACACACACTGATACGCACTCATCCCCCCTCCCTTCCCAAACGCCTTCGATGCTTGTTCCCTCCTGGAGAACACGGCGGGTCTGAGCCCAGCGCTGGAAAAATAGCTGCAGGGCAGGATGGCTGCTGTGTTTGCTTGGGATTACTCCTCACCCCCTACCCACCCCAGTTGCTTGTCACGTGCTCCATAATGTTGTGCTGTGGACATCTATGTGCTTTCTGTGCAGAGGAGGTTCTGTTCTCATGCTGTCCTCCCAGGAGCCCAGCATGAGTACAGGTCTCTTTTTTCTCTCTTGGACTTTCCCCATTGTAGTGTGCATTTCAGTGTTTTTCTGTAATACTACTCCCCATGTGATGTCTGCGTTGTGTATGTAAGGTCACTGCAGGGCAACTTGCATGTGGCACATAAAGGTCTGATTGATTGATTGATTGATTGATTGATTGATGTCCATCAAAACTAAGGGCTGCTACCCAGGAATGGCTCTGCTGACAGCCACAGAGGATAACTAATTTACCAGGGCCACAGTGTTTAGCATCAACAGGAGCTGCCAGAGAAGCACAGTAAGGCCTTCATATCCGAGCTTTGACACTGACAATTTACACGCATACACAATCCTACTAGTAGATCCACGACTGCAGAAAGCAAAAACGGGAACAACAAATAAGTGAAATACAATATGAAACTAAAAAATAAGCATGAGTCGACATGAGAAAAACTGAGATCAAAAGCATAAAGAAACAATGTGAAATGCATTTACTTTGTTGCTGATACAATACTTCTCAATCATCTGTGTTAAATGGTCATTTAATATTTAATGCAAAGCAGCACTCCAACGACCTGTGAACATGTTAGAGTAATATAGGAAACATATTGCAAACTGTTACTGAGTGACCACCCAGAGATGAATGTTTTCTGTCATGTTAAAGCAAAAAGAACAAGTGTGAAGTCTACTCCTCCTTTTTTCTATTAATAAACTTGGTTTATGTTAGTAACCAAACTGTCAAAACTCTAAAGCACTTACAAAGTCATCCCCGGAGTCTGCTCCCACTGAGGTGATGGATTCCTTGCTGATGGTACGGGGTATGCGAACACCACTCCGAGGTGCTGTGGCGGCCTCCTCTGCAATCTTCTTTTTCAGTTTAGCAAACATATTCTTCTTTCAGTTTCTCTTCTTGGGTGCAGTTCAGTTTCTTCACCCAGTGCTCAGAGTTTAAGGCTCCCTGCTGTGTCGCCTCAGACAGCACCACTTCCTTATGCAGTAACACCTGAAAGAGGTTCCTGATAGTACTTCCATACTGCTACATCTACAAAATGAGAAAATAAAGTTATTAAATATCCAGGAAGAAGCTTAGTGCACAACATGTGACTGTGGTATGAGATGTTAGGAAATCACAACAGGGAAGGATATGTAATGTGTTATTTGTGTGTTTAACATGGAGACTGTAGACATTCTTCAGAAGCCCAAGCTTGACTGTCACATTGCTGTAATGAGTCCAGAACAAGATCCACAGTTTTTGGCATCATGTGGTAGACGTGCTGGACTCATATCTATGGCGGGCAAAATGCTGGCGGTTTCATTTGGCTACACTACAGCCCACTAACAGCCCTGTTTGACAAACTTTTACTGGCAGTAAAACAGACAGATGGCACGGGGAAGCCAGCATGGTTACAACAGTAGTCCAATCATTTTGGTTACTCCGAGGAGACCACAGGTTTCTGTGTGGTTCCTGTTGCAAGTGCACCAGCCCTTTGAACGTTTGTGTCATTGATGTGGCTTTTCTCGCAGCTCTGAAAACCTTACAGTTACTCATCACAACAACTGTCCCTGACTCTGGGCAGTTCCTAACCAAATCAGTCCCCCTGGCCTGGCTCCAGAGTATCCTACCCTACTCAACCCAACAGCTAAAGAACGAGTTTAGTCGCAAACTGCAGCAAAGACAAACCTGGGGTTAAATTAATTAAGGGGAAAAACAAAGTACGACATGAGAGTCTATTCTGACAGACTGCTAGCCATCTAGCTCTTCTAACCATAACAATAAGAGTTAACATTACCACCGGTGGTGCTAGCTGACGTTACACTGCCCGTACACTGAAGTCGCCTTCCTCTTACCATTTTCACTTCGATTGAAAGTCACTTCGTGTGGTTCTCGAGGGTGAAATGCTTTTTGCTCTCTACAAACACTGAAAGGAAGGCTGGAGCCGTGGCAGTCCGTAATATGACCTGTAGACTCTGTGTTTCCAACGGGATGCTAGCCAGTGCTAGTCAGCGAGCTACAGCTCATACAGGAGACTTTACACGTAATCACCCAGATGACTGAAGACGTCACGATTAGCCCTCTGCTCATTGGATAGAGGGAGTTAGAGGTGGGGGAATGTAGCGCCCCCTGTAGGCACCAAGAGCAATCACAATTACAATCAGAAGCGGGGGATTCCCGGTGGCTTTGAGACAGAGCTCAATAAAAAAAAAAAAAAAATTATATATATGAACCAGCAGGAACATTTAGAAACCGTATTTAAAAGTATTGTACACAAAATTACTGTCATAACCGCTGATTAGATTGCGTATAGATTGCGATAGCCACTGTAAGTCTTGGAAAAATGAATACCAGTGAATACCCTGAGATTTGCTGCCCTGTATTAGTACGGAAAGTCTAGGGTTCAGAGTATATGCATTAAATAAATAGACAAAAATAAATCAATCAATCAGTTATTCAATTACTTTAGCAGTCATTAAAATTCCGATTGGTTATGAACTGTGAAGTTCATAAGTTTAACCCCACAGGGCTTAAATCTGGGACCATTTGACCCTTGAACTGAAGAAGCTTCTGGGATGAGAGGTGAAACGTCTTCAAGCTACTTAAAGAAGTCCAGACGCTTTTCTTTCCAAGCTCCTTAGACTACGATGACCTGGATGACTGAGAACCTTCACAGACGACTGTGAAGTATTATTTATTCATTCTTTAATCCTTTACATTTATTTCTGTAAAATGTTAACACTGACACATTAAGTGAATAGCACTGATTATTTCCCCATCATGGCGGTTAGAGGGTGGGATACATTAGGGAGCAACTGGACAGTTTGTCCTCAGACTTGATGTGTTGGAAACAGGGAAATGGTGTAAGGATTTGAAGTTTGAAAAGTGCCAAATTCTGATTGCAGATGACCACACATCAGAGCATCTCCAAAACTGTTTATGTGCTACAATTCTCAGCAATAAGAAGATAATGACATCCCACAGCCCCGTTTACACAGAAAAA